GAGAGAGAGAGAGAGAAAGAGGAGAGAGAGAAGTTGTTGGATGATGAAGAAAGGGAGGGAAGGCGGGCGGACAATCACAAAACTTTCTCTCTCTATCCCTGTTTCTCTCTCATTACAGTAAATGCTTTTACCTCTTTCATTCCGACTTTCTCCCTCTTCCGACCACGCCCCTACCCGATCTCTATATGGCCGAGGCTTTATGAAACCAAAATAAACTCTCTCCTCAAATTCTTGTCCGGATTGTACTTTTGACGACCACAATCTTTATGAGGGTTTTAGAATCAATTTCTAATACGGATAATAATCTTCAAAACTCAAAAAAATAATACCGATCTTATCGATAGGTGAACATTTATTTTTAAAGTAAAATGAACGGTTCGGATAATTTATTATAATAACCATTAATTTTAGAGGTTGAAATCTTAATTTTTTTTCGTAACCACAATGTTCAAGTCCGAGACGATAGATGTAAAGGTTTTCCAATGCTTAACTAATAATTTTTTGTGAGTTATAAAATGAGGAATTACTTATTTTAATAGGGCTTCGACGCTGTAAAACCGTTTTTATTCTCAAGATTCCTCTGTTTAAGCTAAAACTTCCAATAAAAAATAAAAAATACAAAACCCATATTTGGGATTTGCTAGAAATTGTTGTGATCACAAATCCTAAAAAATAAACTGAAACTTGGACTAAATTTGAAAGGAAAATCACTCTCTCTCATATCCATTGAAATGGTGAGTTACATTTAAAATATTGATGTTAGCAGTGTTCGAGAGAGAGAGAGAGAGTCAATTTGAAATGGAATTAGGAACCAATCCGGTTTCTTGTTCGAATTTGGAATCAGTCAAGTTCCCTACATATGGCCAATTTTTTAACAAGAGAAGTAGGAGATCCAGCCGAATCCCTTGGTTCCCCCATTTTTATTTTATTTGTAATTTTGTAGCGTAATTACAAAAAATATTTATTGTTTTTAAAAAAATTAAATAATACCCAAATTCTTTAAAAATCTACGTCTATATTCATTTGTCACCATTTTTTCTCTTTTACCTATGATATTCTTCACTTACTTATTAGGTTCGTGATGCTTTATCACAGACTTCCCACTTCATTCTCTTTTCATGAAGGAGCCCTAAAAGCACCATCACAGTATCAATAGAAACATAATGATCTGAACGCAAGGTAACATCACGACTCTAGCATAGCCGTGATGTTCACTTGTCAAAGACTGCTTGGAGCAATACATTGCTTGTTTTTCAAAGGACCATTGTGGTTCTATTAAGACATTGGTGGTCTATGAATAAGCCCTTTGACATTCACAGTCCTATTAGAATATAGTCTTTTCATGAATAGTATTTCGGCTAAAAAAAAAAAACAAAAGCATGGAAGTAAATTTAAAAAAGGTTGCGGTTCTGATAAGGCAACAACCTCTTTTTTCTTTTCTTTTTTTTCGTTCTTTTTTCTGACCATTAAGGTTGACTAGACGAGAATGGTTAAAAAAGAAGGAGCAGAAGTAGGAGGAGAAGGTTAAGAGGGAAGAGAAAGAAGAAAGGATGATAGAATTTGCGAGAAAACAGAGAGAGAAATGGTGGAGAATTCGAAGAACGAGAATTTAAGAGAGGGTTAGGGGCAATAGAAATTCCTCGGTGAGGAGAAGGGGAAGAAGGATGAGAAAGAATGAGGAGTTGAAATGGAATATAGAGGGGAAGATATGGAGAGAAAGCAAGGCATGAGACTGTGAGGGTAGAAACCGATGAAAGTATGTTGCTGCTATTGATCCATTTTTCCTATTTACAAGTTTTTTTTTTCTTTTTCTTCTCTTTCTTTTTGTCGTTTTTCTATTTTTCTTTTCTGGTGATATAGTAGCCGAGAAGAGAGAGGAAGAGGAGAGAATAGTTAAAAGGGGAGATGAAACAGAAAGAAAAGAGGAGTCAGAGAGAAGTTGAGATGGAGCTTGGAGGTAAGAGTGCTACTTTGGCGAGCCTGTCTGTTGTGGTATTAGCTTCTCTATGAATGTGTATGAAAGAAACTGGTGGTAAAGAAATAAAAATAAAAGCATTCTGATAAAAAATTGGTGCTGGGCACCAGGGGAGTTGGCTAAGTTTTGAGGCATAGAGAATATTGTTGTTCGAGTCGACCTCTAATTATATCCTTGCAAATTGGTGCGCTATTCAAGATGCTCCCCTGATATCTTCAAGTAGAGCATGTGCTTCGAGTATGGAGTTCTCAAGTGACCTGAGAAAAACAGGAAAACTCTTTCGATATTGGCAACAATGTCATAAAAAACTGAGGGGTATAAGGTTTCCAAGGGAGGAACCATGCGTGTTAACTTTGAGGAAACCGAAAGGAGGAGGACCCCAAATAGCAGGTGGGGGACAAGAAAGCGAAATGAGGCACACCCAGTTAGCTCGAAATTGGTCGAGGAGATTGATTTGTAAACTGGAATTACCTTGGCCCAAGAAGGAGATGAAGGCCAAAATGGAAGCAAAAAAAGTGAAAGTGTTTCTAGCAGTACCCTTAAAGATTATTGAGATCCTTTCTAACCAGACCAGCCATAACAGAGCGAGTACAGATATGCGCCACAACATACGACCACTACTAGGGAAGTGGGGGGGGGGGGGGGGGTTGGGGGGCAAAGAGTATGGAGAATAGTTGTTAGAGAGGCAGGGATGACCCATTGGAGGCCAAAGAGTTGGATGAGGGAGGACCACAAGTAAGAGACCACGTCACAGTAGACAAAGAGGTGAGGAATATTTTCCTCATTGTTATGATCGAGACTGCAGTGGTTGGACAACGCAGGGCCACACCTTTGAAGTTGGACTAGAGTCAGGACTCTCCCCCTGGAGAAGAATCCAGGTGAAATCTTGGACCTTAAGAGGGACGAGAATGGGGCAAACTTTATTGAGGAAAGGAGAGGATTGGGGAGCCCAGTGTCTTCATTGTTGAAGGAAGAGAATAACAAAGAAAGAAAGGGGAGGGAGTTAAGAGAGGTAATCTCAAAGACGTTCAAATTTATCCTGAAAATAGGAGCCCATATCAAAATAATGCCCTTGCGTTCCTCATAGGTGGCCACAATACCATCCTGTCGATAGCAAGGAGGAAGAGAGGGGGGAAGAGGTTGGTCTCCAATCCAAAAATCTTTCGAGAATTTAACTCTAGATTCATACCCTGTTGAAAGTTCTAAAAGCAGACTTGGAGGAGGATATGGAACTTCAAGCACTTGAGGCAGGGTGCATAAGAGAATAGGGAAGCCGTCCATCATCTTGGAATTCATATTTAGTAGATATGAGTCGTTTCCGCAGGAAAGGGTGTGGGGCCGTGAATCTCCGCCACCATTTACTTAAAAGGGCATAATTCACAGGGGTTAACTTCTTACTGCCTAGACCACCACACTTTCTGGGGATACAGATTGTGTTCCAGGCAACAAGGTGAAATTTATGCACTTGTGATTCGCCATTCCAAAGGAATTTCTGCATGATTTTCTCTAGCCATTTGGCTACAGGAGGGGATCTTAAAGAGAGACATCTAGAATATAAGAATGTTGGCCAGTGTTGCTTTGATGAGGGTAATCCTACCTCCAAGGGACAAGACAAGAATCTACTTTTCCAGCTATCCACCTTCCAAGAGAACTTCTTCAACATATTGTCCAAGAGGTGTTTCTTAGGTTTACCTAGATAAAGTGGAAGGCCCAAATAGAATGAGGGAAGGTACTCGAAAGCACAACGTAAGTGACTAGCTAAAGATTGCATTTCAATTTATGGAACCTGAACTCCTAACATTTTCGTTTTGGACATGTTGACCTTCATCCCTGTAGTCAACTCGAAGCATTTGAGAAAGAGCCAAAGACTATTAACTGAGGGTTCGCCCCATAGAAAATGAGGGTGTCGTCAGCATACAAGAGATGGGAGATGATCAGGCCAACTCTAGAGACTTAGAAACCAGCAAGGAGACACTGATCGTACAGTCTGGAGACGGACCTATAAACAATTTTCTTATAAAGGTGAACAAGAATGGTGATAGGGGTCTCCTTGTCTAAGAACCCTAGAGAATGAGAAGAAGCCAACTGATGAACCATTAATATTAAAAGGAAAGAAAGGATTGGAGACCAAGGCTCTGATCCAAGATCTCCACTTGGGGCCAAAACCCATGTGATTCTGAATTTTATCTAGTAGGGTCCCAATCCGCACGATCATAGGCCTTTTTCCAATCTAACTTAATTACCAGGCCTTTAGATCCAGAGGTATACCTAGAGTGGATGACTTCATGGGCTACTAAGGCACCGTCAAGGATCTGCCAATTAGCAATAAAGGCCG